GGTCACGGCAGCTCCGCGCCCGCGTCCCTGCGCGCTGCCCGGCGCAGCCCGCATCCCGCGGGATCGTTCCCACCGGCTGCACTGGTCCCGCTGCCAAACGGCGACGGCGGGGCAGAGCCTTTGGCTGCCGGTGAAAGGAAGGAGCTGCTGGAGGTGGGTTACTGTGAAGCACCATGCACGGGGCACACATCTGTCTGATGGGAAAGGATGGCTGCTCTTGATCTCTGGAAGGTAAAACTTCGGGTTCACACTGGGAAAAAAAAAAAAAAAGACACTCCACAACGAATTTTTAAAGTGGTGCATTATTACCAGGTTTTGACAGGGAATTATACACACTCCACTTGGGTTTTAGAGCATAGAGGTTTGCTGCCAAAAGGGTGCTGGGTTTGGCAAAGGAGGTACTGTCCGTTGTGTTCTTTAGCCATGACGTCTCAGAGCCCACGTTTTAGGAGCAGGAGAAATGTGTTTTCTGTTCTTAGGGGGGGCTTGAGATGGGGAAAGGTAACACCCTATGGCACAGGTGCCTTTGGAGCACCGCCGGGCAGGAACACTGCTGGAGTTTGTGTTTGGGTCTGGAGCAGCTGCAACTTCCCGATCTAAAATTTGGAGAGGTTGGGGGAAAAGCAGGAGCATCCCACACTGGAACATGCTTTTGGTGTGGTGCTGCATGAATTTCAACAGGACTGGGATTCTGAAACGCACTCAGCTGCTCCATTTCTAAGTCTCTTTATCCAGCTGAATTCAGGAGCAAAATTGGTGGGATCGGGAAAGATGTGTGTAGCAGATCTGGAGTTTTACAACACCAATACAACAGCAGCCAGATTATTATTCTGTAAGATTTTTTACTTGTTTTCTTCTTCAAACATTAAGTATATGGTGTTTGGGGAGCAAAATTAGACTAGTTACAGAGCAAAACAAATCTTATTTTAGGATCTAACACAGTCTAGGGGCATCAGCCTAAAAAGAGAAGGTAAAAGTAGACCCGGGTTGACTTTTTTGTTTTGTTTTTCTGAAGGGAGCATATTCATGCACAACCCTGCCCCGCTAACACACGCACAGAGGCACACAGACATTGCTGTAACCTACCGTCAGTATGTCTCACCTGAGCAGCCCTGCACGGCGTTGCCAGCACTCACAGGGCTTGCTCCAACACAGCAGAAGCTGAAGGCAGAAGTAAGCCAAATGCATTTTTCTCTCATCTCACAGCATACATTTGTTTCACATCCGTGAGTTTCAGTGATGTGCAGCTTTCTGGTGAGCAAGTATCATGGCCTGGAATTGGCTCATGGGACAACATATACTGTCCCACTTGCCTGTGTTTACTAGTACGTAGGAAATGTGTTTGTGGTAACAGCTGATGCTGCCTTGGAAGGGAAAGTGTACGCATGGCATGCCTCAGCAGTAATTACCAGATTCATGTGGGATGGAAGGAACAGCATGTTAGGGGATTGCAACAGTAATAAGACACAGAGATGATACTGATTCTATTACACTGCAAATGCATGCGTATAATAACTGCTGTTGTAGGAGGAAGAACAAGGGTTTAAAAAAAAAACAGCTACAGCTTTTTATTTAGGAACAAAGTCATGATTTCTCAGCATGCCCGAAGTGTTTTATAATCCTTTCAATTAAAAACAGAGTATAAAAGAACAGCTTCCCCCCCCCCCACCTGTTTTACTGCCTTTTTATTTTGCATGTTGAACATGGGAACATTTTCAGGCTGTGACTATCTGGGAGCCTCCAGGAATGGAAGGCCAGGAGGCAGGTTGGTAGAGCAGCCTATGAGGGTTTGGGAAAACTCAGTGTTACACTTGATTTGTAAGCATGATGAAGGATTCTTTTTTTTTTCCCAAATACTTTGCTGTGTTCCCCCACCCTCCTTTTTGGAGCAAAGTTAGGAAGACTGAGTACAGATTCATGAACTTGCAGATTCATAGACTATAAGGCAACCATTGTCGCTTTTGGATCTTGCATAACCCAGGCCATCAGCTAAATTGGAATTAATTCCTGTTTAAACTAGATCATACTTCATAGGAAAAAGAAAAACAACAAAATTGAGAAACCAATAACATCCAGGCAGATTTTAGCAATTGCTTATGATGAAAATCTGCCATAATGTTTGGTAAATCGTTCCAATAGCTTTCATCTCCCACAGGTAAAAAATTGTGCTTTCTCTACAACTCTGCATCTGGCTACCTTCAGTTTGAATTTTTTATCCTTATAATATCTTTATCTGATGGCTTAAGAGCCCTTAATTATCCCATACCTGTTTCCCACGGGAGCACTGCCAGACTGCTGCAGAGCAAGTATGATATTTGCCTGATACCAGCCTTAACCACCTTAAAATTGTCTGTTAGTCCTGTGCTGGTACATACACCACAGCAGCTCTTGGCTCCTGCATGGTCCTAAAGCCACCACTTTATCTACTGGCAGGGAAAAAAAAATGCAGACCACAGCATGAAGCAAAAGCACACAAAATTTGGCACAAATGATTACGCTTCCTACCTAGTGCACATCACGCTGTTGTCCTCTGTGAGAGTAAATATCAGGGAGCAGAGTAAGTCTGGAAAGGTGGAGATCATTTTCTTTCTTCACATTGTGTCTGTAGACGGATGCTAAACACTACTTACACGTTTTTACCTACTGGTTTCTGTTTCTGTTTCTCTCTATATAAATGAAGAAGGAACAAACATATCCACCAAGTCTCGTGGAATGAAGAAAAAGGCTCCATCAAGAAACTAATCACAAATCTCTGTGAATTGGATGGAGGTCAGGTTTTAAGTTTTACTGATCATTAGAAACTACCAAGGTAGCCTGGGTGCTGGCGGTGGGTAAGGAGGGATTTATTAATGTAGTATAAATAGATGCCAGTATTGATTTTTGTGAAGAAAACATGTTGACTGATGTGGTGAAACAATGAGAATTTGTAAATTTAGCTGCTTAGTGATCTCATGTGTTCCTCATCCTGTGATCCTGAGCTATATAATATGATATGCCTGCTCCATGTTAGCTTTAGATAATCATCATTGCTATTCAACAAGTACCCTATATTCTTGTTTTCCAAGAGGATTTTTCTCTGTATGCTCGTGTGTGTATGTGTGCCTATTTGTAGCTAGAGACATTCTCTCTCCCTGAGTATGTACTTTTCTGGAATATTTCCTGTACTGTAAGTGGGATATTTTTGTGCCTCACTTAAAAGTCATTATTAAGGAAATAAACAGTTTCCAGATTTAGCAGTGAGCAAAATAATTGTTACTTTTAATCCAAGGTTTTATCTCCTGCAGCAGCACTGGGAAGTACGCTGTAAAGCAAGGGGTGAGAGAGGAGGCTCTGCCTTTTGCTTCCTTTCCTTGGGCAAGGTCCGAGTGAAGGAGGGTGAGCATGAGGGAAGGTTGGAAGGAGCCGGGGCTCTGCCCTCCACGGCCCTGGCGTCCATCCCCGCTCACCCGTGCTGCCCAGCAGCAGCCAGGCCATGGGTAGAGGGGCATTCCTGAGTGCCGGTGCCTTCTGGGTGCCTGGGGGCTGCTGAGTTGCTTTTTGCTGGCAGTCAGTAATTGCCTTTGCTATTACCTGTAATGAATTTCATTGGTTTGCAGATACATTTTTTAGCTCCATTTCCCTGAACCATTCAAGCATATGGAGAGCCATGGGCTACTTCAGAATAGTGTTTACTGCAACTTCATGACTATCTACTTTATAAACAAAAGAATTTAATGAACTATGACTTAACATGCTTTGTAATTCTTCCCTCAGCTGCTTCTTCCTGCAAGGGCTCAGACCCTGGCCAAGGATACATGTTTTTGAGACCCATTGTCTAATTAGAACATAATTTTTTGCAAAGAGACTTTGCCGTGATTTGTCTGGGGTAATCTGTGTTGTAACAGCACAGCATGATTTTACACTGGTGGTTCAAAACTCAGCAGTAAAACTATCAATTTCTGATGCTTTGTATCATTAATGCGGAACCCTAACTTTCTTAAAAATAAAGCCCCAATTTTGTGAGTTATAATACCAGTAATATTGGTTTCAGCAGGAAATGTGATAGAGAAGCTGTCTGTCAGAAAGCATCCTAGGTAGCCTGTGCACTGGGGATACTGATAGACTCACCACTATGTAATTTATTTTAGCTTTAACCCAATTTTTTATTTTGTTACATAGAAAAACAAATCTCCCCTCCCCTTGTACACACACATACACACACAGAGACACACACACCCCCCCCCCTTTTAGCATAGGACCCAGCAAAGTACTGTAAGACAGTTGATATTTATGGATGTGTTCATCCTATTCAGCAGAGTAGTATGTCTGATCCAAAGCCCTTTGGTGTCAGTGAAAGGACTCCTACTGATCTCAGTGGGATTTGAATCAGATCTTTGAACAAATGTTCAACTTAAAAGCATACACTTAGGTCTTAATGAGTGGGTTAAATATTTTTGGAAGTGTTTTGTTTCATCATGTCAGTGTTTTTTTTTCTCTGCTAGGAACAGTGAGATGATTCTTCCTGATGATGTTGCTGAACATCAAGAACAAAAAAAAATATTTTTCCATCCTTAAAACAACAATAGATTTCTCGTTCCTCGAATTTCAAATGCGTGAATGTCTACACTAATATTTACCACTACCATTTATAAATGCAATTTTTCAGATTTCCTCAGGGTCATAATCTATGTGTTGTGGACTGTGAACGTTTTTAACTGGATATGTCCCATCATGCAAGCACAAGTGCAGACGAGCCTTTTTAGTAATTCAGAGAGTCTTGATGAAATGATCAGGTTTTCTTGCTTTACTGAATGGACGTGCCTTAGTGATGGGGCTCATATTTGTGTAATGCAGTTGATGTATGGCTATGATGAATGTTCACTGTTGAAAGTCTGGTGGGTTGATGTGAGAGGTTTCTTCCCTTTATTTATTAGTGGTAAAAGAAATGTAGTGAAATCTCTTCATATCATAATTTTGATGACAGTAAAGTTGAAAGAATCCAAATCCCACTGTGCTAATGGCATATCTAGCAATATGCAAGGAGCAGGAGCAATGGGTGAAATTCAGTCCCGGGCAGAGGGCCAGCCCAGAGTGATTCATCATGAAAGCCCCCAATTAAGACCTCAAAACAGGGCTTAAGTGGGACTCCAGTGTCCTATGCCTTGAGCTGGCTTTCTGCAATGGTGTTGGAGGGGAAAGTTCCTCCAAATGAATTATTCATCATAAATAATGCATTCTATCAGTTTAGCCGCTTTTTCTTGATTCCTTGAATTTATTTAATTGAAATTACTCACCAAATAATTTCTATGAATAATCATGGCCTGAGGATTATTTTTGAGCAGTTCACAGTGAGCATTTCATATTCCACATTCAGAATGAGAGCTGTGTCATTGAGTTGTCATTATTCACAGAGGTCACATAGTTCTGGTTTTGCTCCAGAAAAAAAAAAGACGAGTAGAAAAAAAACCCAGTATTTTTTTCAGACTCCACGTGTTCCCAAAAATTTCCCCTATTAAGTTCATTCCTTGAGATGTTTGTGAACAGTTGCTGATTGAAGAACACTTTGGCAGTCATTGGCTTTCGTGTTTTTCACCTGGTTTCTAACAGAAATGTAACTGTGCTTTATGTATGTACACAGTATGTGTATATGTCTGGCTCAGTCAAGGTACCCTTCCTTCAGAAATATTTTGAACCAGATTTGATGAAAGGCAGTGGCAATTAGAGATTTTAGTTTCCCACTTCTTTAGCAGAAGTACTGAGAATTGTGTTGACCAGATGAAAGGTTGCAGCCTGGCCTCATTGTGTTGGTTTGACTGAGATGGCGTAAATTTTCCCCACAGGACCCTCACAGTGCTGTGCTTTTTGCTGTCACTAAAAGGTGCTGAGAACACACCCGTGTTTTGGCTGCTGCTGAGCAGTTGCCCCAGCATCAAGGCTGTCTCACCAACATCCCCCCTCACCAGTAGGCTGGGGGTGGGCAAGATCTTGTGAGAGGGCCCAGCCAGGACAGCTGACCCAAACTAAGCTAAGGAATATTCCACACCATATGACGTCTGCTCAGCGATAAAAGTTAAAAGAAAGGGGGGGGGGGGCATTCATTGTTACAACATCTGTGTTCTGTCAGCCAACTGAAGCCCTACTTCCTGGGAAGTGGCTGAACATCACCTGCTGAGGGGAAGTAGAGAATAAATCTTTTGCTTTCTTTTGCTTCTGTGCAGAGCCTTTGCTTTTGCTTTATTAAACTGCCTTTATATTGACCCACGAGGTTTTTTATTTTCTCCCCCACCCTCCCCATCCTGCTGAGGAAGGGAGTGATAGAGCAACTTGGTGGGCACCTGATGTTCAGCCAGAGTCAACCCGCCACACTCATCCACTGTTATCTGTCAGAAAAATACACGTCAGGGTTTGGCTCAAAACGGAAAATTGTTTTGGCGACTCACCCAGCTGCCTGTCAGGAGCAGGGAAGGGTCATGTTCTTAAGCATTTGCCTTCTTGTTTGCAGAATCCTGCAATACCAAGTGATAATGGGTTGGAATAGCCCTATGTTTGAAAATGTTTTCACTTCAGATCAGACACACCATTATTTGCAGGGCTGTTTCAAGGTCTTGTTTCTGCCTAGGCTCAATATGAGGCTTCACTGTATAGAGTTACATAGGTGTAAAAGAGGTTGTGGGGCTGAGATGGTGATTTCTGGAGTCAGAGGTGAAGCTAGTTTATCGCTAGGCACTCAACACAGTGTAGGCCAAGGAGCTACCTTGAGTCAATAGGAAAGAAGAACTTGCTCTGAAAAACCAAGCAGTTTATCTCTCAAAAGGGGGTATAATAAGTCAGAAAAAAACAAAACAAAACAAAATAAACACCAAAACAACACCTTAAAAACCCAAAGATGCTCTTAGGAAGAAATAGTTTCTGTTCTGATTTTCCAAGGATAGAAAAGTTAAGTCTCTGAGAATTAAGGACTTCTTTTTTTGACTGAAGTAAAATATTCCCTACTTTCCTGCAGTCTTTTCCACATCACTTTAGCCAGAAACTTTGCTGTCTCTGAGCAGTAATCATTTACGTGAAAAATACCCTATAATATTTCTCTTTGTGGAGGCTGTTTGGTTACAAATAATGACTTTGAAGCGTGATGTATAACTCAAAGTGGCATGAAAAGAAATTGATGAGACAATTAGAACTTATGAGAATGGTGGTTACATTAATATGTTGGGGAGAATCACTTAGAATAAAGAATTCCAAACTCCAGGGAAACCTTAAAATTTATTTGGCATCTGAAGTAGCTCCCTGAGTTGTTAGTGCACAAAGCACAATACAAATATACATAAAACCCTGACCTAGACTTCAGCTGCTGACAAATCTCCCTTTGACTTCATGGGGCCAGGATTTCAGCTGACTTCTGCTCTGGTGAGTTAGACACAAACACACACAAATCTCAAGTACCTAATACGACATTTTATGGTGAGATTTAGGTGCTCAGGTAGTAAATAGGCATACTCAGAATCTCCTCACCTATTGACAGTGATCAAATTCTGATGGTGCTTAAAATTGCATGATATCTCAGTTTTTAACATTACAGTTTGTCTGGGCTTTAAGTTGTTTTCCTGGGCATCCTCAGAGCCTTGATAGACTCATTTCAAAGCAAAACAGGGATGTGCCAAACATGGCACATTGACTGAAAGCACAACAGGAAGGGAGGAAGTTATGGTAATACTTCTGCTTTATGTTGCAGTCACTGTGGTCCAGGATGATGAAGATACTTAGCAATCTCCCTTCTGATGTAAATGCCAGGAGATGCCAGGGGACATTTGAAACTGTTGAATAATTAGTGGGTAAGTATGTGTCCGAACTGCCACACATGCCACACATGTAATTTATGAATTACTGCTCTGGCATCTTTTTTTACCATCTATCAGTCTTTTTCCTGTAAAACAATGACATCACTTGCATGGCAGGAGATTTTAATGTTGACTTTATGACTGAGCAGCAAGTGAAGCTGGTAGAAAAGGACAGTTCAGCCACCTTTGGTAATCAGCTCTGGCTTGGAATCTTGAAAACTCTGGGCAGACCCAGTTATTTGCACACATACTTGCTCCACAGCGTTTTTGCTTTGCAACCACTACATTGGTTAGCATTTGAGCTTTCTGACTAGAAATATTGTTGCTGTTGCAGATAGAAGTGTTTGGCTTTATTATTTCTAGCTGGTGATACTGATGCACTTGAAATTATGTAGGGATGAGATCATTCCTTTATAGCTATTTAGGTATGAACTGGTTGGTGGTCCTGATCATCTCAAATATAAGCATTACATATTTCTTTAGAGCTGTTGTGACCTTCTGAAGCCTCCCTTATGACAACTGCTTGTTGACTTTTGATTTTTTTTTTTTTTTTTTTTTCTTTCTCTTGACAGAATGCTTTGACATCAACAACTAACAGGTCTCATTTTGCAAATCACACCTTATGCTTTTATCTGTAGCAGAACTGGGCTCAATGGCAGATGCATTGCACCTACAAATTTCTATCCAAAAAAACATTTTTTGTTGTTATTTTTTACCCTTTTCATCATTAACTTTTGTATTCAGTATTATTAGTATTTTGATACTTCAGGGACATCTGATGAGTCATGGACCAAGCCCTCACTGTTGTATTCTTAGATATTGCTTTCCTTATCTCTTTCTTTCTTCTGTAGAATACAAGTATACCTGTGATAAACTAGCATATCATTTTTGTTCCACACCTTAAAAGCTTTTCTAATATGAAGGTTTAGATCTAGAATTATAATTGTGCAGGCTGCCGTATGCACAAGCAAAATGGTAGCGCTTGCCAGGTAGCTTGCAATGATCTACTGAGAATTTCACTATTTTTTAAACTGAATGTGGAGGTGAAAGATGCACCTATCTCTGAAAGACTGACAACTTGTATGTCAGGCTTCTTGCTGGTGTCATTTAAAATAGCTGAAATACAGTGTTGCCACTCCCTCCCTCCATCCACTGAAATGAGGCTTATACTGGAAATGCTGACAAGTCCCTTATCTTTTGAGATGGCACCATGCATGGTTTTAAATACTGGTTATAAATGTTAATGCATTATCTGAAAGATTTTTTTTCCACATGTAGGCAGCTCGGGATTGAGTCTCAGTAATAAATTTAACGAGTTCAGGGGGAACACACAGTATGCTTATGTGAGTATTAGAATGATTGGCATTTTTGCAAACAGCATATGATAAGTGCTACAATTTTATTTTCAAAGTTTAATCAATAGAGAGCTCTTTGATATTGCCATGTACTTTACAAATAGATGCTTCCTTGGGATGACAGCAAAACAACTTCTCTATCCTGGTGTGTTTGTGCTAAGGATTTAATCAATCTGCTTTTGTGATTGTCATCAATTTTGATATTCCAAAAAATAAGTAGAAGTTATAAAATAATTACACTTCAGAGTGGCATCCTGCTGCTGCTGCTAGCCTGGGTCGTCTGGCTGTACAAAGGGTTAAAAGGGTACAGAGTCCCTCACGGTGCTGAGTACAGGGGCATGGGCCATGTACCAGTTTACTCCCAGGCTTTGTAAACCCATGCCAGCTGTTGCATAGGAAGTTGAGGTGGATCTTCGAGGTCTTAAGAAGGACTTTATCACTGTCATGTGTTAGCTTTTGGAAGTGAATTTCCTCTCAAATAAGAGAAGTCAGAAATGACCTTTACCCCCACTACTGGGAGATCACAGCATTTACACTGCAGTCCTCCCCCCCGGTAATTTTGATCTACATGGGTAGGCTGAAGTGGTTGAAGCTCCTTGTGTGTGAGCACGAGCATGCACCTAGGCCAAAAGCCCAGTGCTGGTGCTCTTCAGGGATGCTGAGGAGAGCAGAGCATCCCTCGCCCTTCTCCGGGGCATTTCGAAGCAGCACAGAGGACTTTGGGGAGGTGCCCTGGGTGAGCTGTGTTCTTGCTGAGCGGACTCCGGTTGCCTGTCACTCTTTTGTTCTTGAAAACAACAGTAGCAGTTGAAAGCTGAACTTTGAAAGATCATTTCACAACCATTTGAAGGCTGGCTGCATCCACAGAGAGCCATGGTGCCAGCCCAGCTTGTCCTCCATACTGCAGCAGCCTGCACAAATTCGTGCTGGCCCCACAAACCCGGTCCCAGGGAAGCCTGCTTGGAACAGACAACGTTAATGATTTACTGGATGTGGCAGCATAAGGACGCACAGTATGAACTTGGAGATAACCTTTGGCAGGGAAGTCTCTTTGTCTCTCTCATTCTTTCTGTTAAAAATATAGTAACTGGTAGGCATTTGGGAAACAAGGAAGCTGGAGCATTTCAGGTGACTTGACCTGAATTTAACGGGCTGCCGCTAGCACTGATACAAAACCTCCAGAGATGCCACTAGATCTGTGCCTGGCACCACTGCAGGGTATGACCCAGCCAACATCGGGTGGGATCCTGATCTCAGCACAGAAATTCCTTCTGAGGCACGAGGGGTTACAGCAGGCTGACATCAGCGTAAGATCAGGGTTTATGTGTGCTGTGCATACTAGATGAGTTGTTATAGACAAAAATGGTCTTTGGGTATTTATTTATTTTTAACGCTTTTTACTTGCAGCAAGAAGATGCTGTTTCAACAGCCAGATACTGCAGCTTCAGCTGTAGTTCTGCTTATTTTCATACAGACAAAAGAGTCAAGAGAATGACCTAAAGAGAGCAAAGGAGTTTTTCTTTTTTTTTTTAATGAAATTTTATTATGAGATTTAGGGGGGGAAGCTCTGTATGGGTAAATATATACATATACGTATATACATCTCTTTGTTTAAAGAACATGTGTTTTCCTTTGCTGTCCCTAGCCAACATCAATTTCTGTGCTGTCTTTGTAAATATGCTGTAATGGCTGATTCTTTTGCTTTCCTTGTGCTATCTTTGCTTATGCTGAATAGCAGCCGACACTTTAATTGGGATGACTGAGCTGAGTGCATTTGCCTTTGGAACTGGACACTTTTCAGTGTGAAGAGAGGGTACCACAGACTGACTCTTCTGTCTTTATTCTCAATCAAAACTCCATTAAATCAGACCTGGAGTTTGTAGCAAGAGACATTCTCCATTGCATTGAAATGCATGGGAAAGGCTGGAGGCTCACAGTTTTTAAGGTTAATTAGATCCTGAAAAGGAGAATTAACTGAAATTGTTTTTGCTATCTTTTTTCCTATTTTAATTACCTTCATCTCTGTTGGTGTATTCACATACACTTTTCCCTTTATAGGAAAAATACCATGTACTTTTGAGTTTATTAAAAGCCTTTTTGATAGACAGATTCTACTAATTCTTATTTTAAACAAAAATGAACACAGTGCTGGTACATTGTGTTAAAATTTATGCGTCAGATCTTCCTATATATTAATATGAGCCATGCAGTTAATCTTTATTTAACTGAGTGTTAACATTCACTGCTTAGGCACTAAATGATAATTTGGTTTTCAGTTGGCGACATTGTGTTTAGAAGATAAAGGAAGGAATAGTTTAGGGCATGACCATTCAAAAGTTCTTTGGTGGGGGTGGTGGTTTCAGCAACCAAGTTTTTTTTTTTTTCAGGCTCCCATTATGTACCTGCTCTGGACCTTAATGTTGATTCAGAAAGGTAATCTTTTCAACTCTGTTTGGAAGGTTGCCTTTGACTGCATGAGAACATGCTTCTTGTATGATATAGGACAATAGTTAAGCGACCTGCTAATGTGCCAGTCCCCAAAGAGGGCCCTCCAAGCCTGTCTGATGCTGCCAGCAGAGCCAGTCCCCTTGTAGGAGGCCATGCAAAGTTTACAGCAGAGGAAGCCGTTGGCTGAAGTCTTGTAACTTCTTTTGCATATATCCTCAAACTTCTTTAATCTTTGTGTGACTGAAAATAGAGCTATTTTTCATGCTTACCCTTCTTATGTCAGTATACACGAAGAATGGAATGGAATGTAGGAGGGAGACATCATCCTGTTCTTTTACTCAATTTTAGTTGAATTGATTTTGCAGATGGGGAAAGTTGCGTTCATAGTCCTCCTCCCCTTTCCAGGTTTCCTTGTGTTACGTTCGCTTCCAACCCTTTCCCCCACATCCTTTTGAAGAGTACTGTGTATTTAGTTCTCTAAACCCTTAGCAATAATCCAGGCATGGGGTGGCTTGAGCAAGTTCAAGAAAGGCAGTGTAATTTCAGCAATCATACGGTTTTTCTCATTCTAATGAAGTTCCTTGCTCCATGTTAGATTAAAGCAGTTTTCTGTGGCTTCTTTACTGTTGTTATACAGCACACTTCAGTCACGAAAGAGCAATATTCTTGATGGATCACAGGATTTTCTTCTTGATCCTTTTTTTCTGTTCCTATGGTCTCTTTCTTCTCATCTCAGCTCTAGGTTTTAGATCTGTTGTACTGAATGTAAAATGCCTGGCAAGAACAGGACTGAACAGAGACTGACAAGATAGACTTCCAATCAATGATGTTAAAAAAAAAAAATAGACAAACTGGAAGAAGCACAGAGAAGGGACTGCTTTTGGAATGCAAAAGAAAAACTGGGTGAACTCCATTTTAGGAGCCCAGTTTGGAGATGCCATGGTTATCAGAAATAATCAAATGCTGGAAGTGGAAGCCATGTCAGTGTAAAACAGTGCTGAAACTAGTCGTCCTGGTGTGATGCTGAGGTGAGCTGATATCTCTATGTTTTTATGAGCTAGTGCATGCTGCACTTTGCTTTGTTTCTTGGAACAGACCGAGGATCTCTGCAGCATATGGCAGAAGGGCAGTCACAGGATTCTTCTCTCTTCTGTTTATATTGGGCTGTTAAAAGCCAGGAGGTGCCAATGCTACTTTTGCTCTACTCCTCTGGCCCTAGCAGCAGTGTGACCCAGTTTTCTGCCATGACTAAGCCCCACGTATTCTTCACTCCTGTTAAGGACCCTTGAAGCCACAATGTGGTGATTCCCAGCTAGGCAAAGGCAAGCGAGCCTAAGCTAATTTAAGAACACAGGTCCCTGCATTTTTCTTGATGTTCTAATGCTCTATGTGCATGATCACTCATAGGTTTCAGAGTTAATGACCCACTTGAGATGCTGAATTAATACAGTCATACAGTCAGTCAGGCTTAGTTTCAGAAATTATCTTGACCACTAGTAGAGCTGGGAGCTTCACTTTTCCATTCTAGCCTATGTTTTGCAAGCACAGATTTGGTGTGCCAAAGAGGCAGACTGAAAGGCTCTTCTGAGCCTGTAAGATTTCAGTCCCCCATACTGTGTAGTGATCAGCTTTGATTTGGATCCTTAGAGTCAAACGCCAAGTAGCTACCAAGAACTTGCAAACAGGGTCAATGCGTGGTTCTGCTGCAGTGTTTTCTTCACACTTAGGCATTTCACACCTGAAGTCACCTAAGAGTTCTTCAACATAGCCTCACATCCTCAGGCATCCAGGAACATCTGGAAAGTTATTGATTTCAGCCAACTTAGAGCACATTCTCAAATCTTGGCATTCTTATCTGCATAGCTTTGGGGCTCTGCCATGTCAGAGCAAACAGACATCAGTTGACACAAACATACCAACAGGTTAAATATAGGTACAAAGTGGTAAGGCAGTGGTGTTCACAATTAACTAGTGGCTTTTAATGGGAGTCATGGATTCTCCCTGTGACTTTGAAACTGCCAACAAAACAAAGTGGTAGGCTTACTTGGCACCTGGACTATGGCTCAGATACCCCTTGCTCTAGACATGGGGAAACACAGAATAAGATGATCATTTCCCCAAGTGTAACTACTGAGATACACAGAGATTCCTTGATGTTGTAAATATCAGAAAAGCCTCCAAAAACCACAAAAACAATCTTATTTGAAATATATACTTTTTTGCTGATGTTGGAAAAAAAAAAAAAGTTTTTTGGATTCCATACAAGGAAGTCTCTGATAATGAGTCACTTTTATACAGAGAAAGTCAAGATGCTTTATGTAATTGCTCAGTGTCAGAAGAAAGCTATTTTAACAGAGCTTAGCAAGTTACGGATCTAAACCCATCCTTTTCTGGCATCTCCTGAATTTATTACCTTACTAGCAGGCATATTACCTTGCTAACAGGCAAAGTGCCATCCAAGCAGATGAGTTGAGGTAGGCAGCCAAAATACCATGGCCAGGTTCATCAAGTGTGTTTGTTGAGGTCAAAGCCCCTGGAAGCCAGAGTGACAGAGGTGCTCTGTCCTGAGCTTCTGAGGCTGCCACCTGCTAATTGGATAGACTGTCTCTGTGTTAGTACTGATCAGAGTTAATACCCGAGATCAAAAGTTAGCTCAATGAAGATAAATTTGCAGCATGAGAGAATTCATCGTGTAATTAAGTTACTGAAATACGGAATAAGCAAAGCACTGATATTATGTAGGTGTGCGTAAGAGTGTAGTGAGGCAAGATCCTGAGGCACTCACAGAATCTGAAGTTTGCCATACAGTTTAAAGAAAATTAAGGGTCCTAATTTCTGTTTGAAGTTGTAGTCTGTAAAGAGCAGAGGAGGGAAGACTCCTGCAGCTAAATGACATCCTTGCTAGCTATTCCCAATACATTAAAATTCCTCCCTCAAATTCTCTAGAAATGGTCCCACATCACTAGAACATACCACAGGACTTTCTGATTGCTGTGTGATCTTTTCAGAGATCCTGAGGGAATTAACACATCACCATAAGAACATGTAACGACTGTTCCTATATGGAGGCAAAACTGGCTCTGCTTGCCATCTTTTGCAATATGGAGGACTCCGGCTGTAACAAAATCAGAGAAATTCCTGCCACAGAGGTAGGAATGGCAAGGCACTGTGTTGGGGATACTACTCTTCCCCATTAAGC